TCTCTCTCTCTCTCTCTCTCTCTCTCTCTCTCTCTCTCTCTCACTGATCAAAAGACAGAAGAGAGAAGCATTCAACAAGTCTCACCTTGACTTGTTCACATAGCTCAGCTAGACGGGCGTCTAAGTCAAGTTGCTCTGAAGATGGAGACATTTCAAAAGGTGGTTACTGAATTGATCTTCTTACAAAAAGGGGAGAAAGTTACGTTACACAGCACTGGTGCAGGAAAGTACATCGTTTTTCTATAGAGGATTAGAACTAGAGTGTCTAGAAAACGTTTTGCCAAAAGTATTCTTGTAAAAATGGAAAGAAAGGATGAATATATTGTCTACGCAAGACTAGAAGATAATAAGGAAGTAGGTTAGAGAAGCTTTTCTTGGTAAGCGGGTCACAAAGAGAGGAGTTGTTTTTGCTTTAAGGAAGAAACAAGAGTGAAAAGTAAAAGTAAGAGAAAGCCAGGCTGACTCATGGCACTGGGAGGGTCGGGACATACCTATGTAGACGTGTCGTTCACCTCGGGGATAGGGTCTTCTGAGTACCCGCTCATATAGGACCTGCATACTGGGCTTGGCTAGTAAGATTGCACATATAGGCATGTTTAACCTTTTTAAATATGTTGTTTAGATTAGGTTAATAATTACCTACTGGTGTGAATTTTAAGTGAAAACATAATAAGTTGTTTAGCCTCCTGGTTAACATCCTGCTCTATTGAGTGCAGGTATTAGTTAGTATAATTATTATAGCATTATTAGTTGATTAAAATCCTGAAGCACCATTCATGGCCTGTTGTAAGGGCACGGTAACGTGTAGGGAGGTGAGATGACATGAAAACATCAACCATATTTGCAACAAAGATGATTTAAAAATCCAAAGCATGATAAAACCCAAAAGGCATGCATGTATAAAATCTGTTGAGTCTGGATTTTAGGATGAAATTGCTGCACAATCCAAATAAAAATTCTGCTGCATGCTAATGTGAAGCTATGATGCAGCATACTGTACCTAGTTCCATACGATGGGAGGAGGGCAGGTCCTTGGTGATGGAGGTGAAGTAGCCAAAAAGGCCCCGGTAGGCTATCAGAAGACTGGAGCAAAGGTTTTGATGTAGACTGAAGGCATGCTGCAGACAGTGGTCAGACACCAGGAACGCCCTGCCCTAATGGACCACAGAAATGGTTAAACAATCAACGTTTCACGATATGTGCAATACCAGTCCTGATGTTTCCCCATGTGACTTCAGGAGGGCACTTTTAAGACCTTTTGAAAAGGCTTAGAAAGTCAGTAACACTGACAAAAAGATGTCTAAATAAAGGTTTCTGTTGGTATAAGAGCCGACGGACTTACGTCTGGTGACGCCTGTTTGACATAGCTGCTGCCAAAGACGACGTTCTCCAGAGGTGGGATCACAGAATCTTTGCTCTGTGCTGGAGCGTTTCGGTTGAGCCAGGTGGTTTTCACCGGTCGAGGTAAACTACCAAATAAAACACATCAGAAAATGGATGGATTATTCCAATAACGTCTTTCAATCCACTTCAAGGCCAGAGCGACGCATTCAGTTGTATTGGGGGGAAATAAAGGCTGGACTTTGACCGGTCTGACCTGATGAGGGGCTGATGCAGAGCCACAAGGGAAGCATGGACGATGACAGAGATGACAGACAAGTGGAAATAGTCAAACATAACATTAATGTGTTGGTGGATGCCTCGCTGAAGGCTAAAGTGCAAACGAAGTATGCGGCTGCTGATGTTCTGTAGAGTGCTTGGATCATCTGGCCTGTAGGGGAGATAGAATAAAAACCAAAAGTTAAACTGCTTGTTACAACTATGCAGCGACACTGTCTGGGACTACAGTTCAATACATTAACACCTACGTGTAATCACCATCTGTAAAATATAAATCCAGGAAGAGCTGAAAATCCATGTCACTGAGGGACTCTTCCACCTGGAAATAAGAAAAACTGCAGGTTAACTTCAGAGCCTTGATAGAAGCCGTGTTGCTTCAGTAGTGAATAACTGCAGGTAGAGTGATGCTGTTCTGTGTATTTTTTTTTAAGATAAGGAGGTTTATGCTATTCCTCGCCTTTTGTTGAGCGGCACTCAAGAGTCAGAGTACCCGGCCCGGAGGGTTACCGGGGTCCCACCCTGGAGCCAGGCCTGGGGTTGGAGCCCGTGGGCGAGTGCGTGGTTGTCGGGCTTTTGCCCATGGGGCCTGGCCGGGCCCAGCTCGAACCGGATACACGGGCTCATCCAACTGTGGATCCACCTCCTGCAGGAGGAACATGAAGGGTCCGGTGCACTGTGGACTGGGGCAGGGGCTTTGGCGGTCTGATCCCCAGACAAGAAAACTGGCATTTGGGTCATGGAACGTAACCTCTCCAGCAGGGAAGGAGCTGGAGCTTGTGGAAGATGTTGAGCGGTACCGGATAGATATAGTTGGACTCACCTTGACACACAGCATTGGCTCTGGAACCTGAGTCCTGGAGGGGGGTTGGACACTCTTCTTTGCTGGAGTTGATCTGGGTGACAGGTGGAGGTGTGGGGTGGGCTTTTTGCTAGCCCCAAGACTCTCTGCCTGTGTGCTGGGGTTTACCCCAGGGGATGAGAGGGTAGATTCCCCGCGCCTTCGGGTGGGGGGACGGGTCCTGATTGTTTGTGCTTATGCATCAAATATCAGTTCAGAATACCCATCCTTTTGGAGTCACTCCAACCGGGGACTCCACTGTCTTGCTGGGGGATGACAGCATGACCTGGAGGGGCGTGACTGGGAGGAACGGCCCGCCCACTCGGAACCAGACAGGTGTTTTGTTATTGGACTTTAGTGCAAGCCACAGTTTGGCCATACCAAACACGATGTTTGAACACTTGGTACAAGGGAAGCCCAGGTCGTAAGTCGATGATCAACTTTGTAGTCGAATCATCTGACCTGCGGCCGTATGTTTTGGACACTCTGGTGAAGAGAGGAGCAGAGTTAGCAACTGATCACCACCTGGTGGTGAGTGGGATCAGATGGCAGGGGAGGATGCCTCGCAGACCTGGCAGACCCAAACGTATAGTGAGGGTTTGCTGGGAACGTCTGACAGAAGAACCGGTCAAGATGGTCTTCAATTCCCACCTCCGGCAGAGCTTTGACCGCGTCCCGAAAGCAGTAGGGGACATTGAGTACGAATGGGCCTTGTTCCGCTCTGCGATTGTTGAGGCGGCTGTTGCCGACTTTGGTCGCAAGGTGGCCGGTGCCAGTCGTGGTGGCAACCCCCGTACCCTTTAGTGGACACCAGAGGTTAGAGGAGCAGTCAGTCTGAAGTAACAGGCCTACAGGTCATTAGAGCTGAGGAAAATAATCAAATAATCGATGCATCGGGATGCGGACATAAACGATTCTGCATCGTAGAAGAGTACGCCGTAATCGATTATAGTGGAATGCAGTTCTGTTTTCTTAACGGCGGCAAAATCGCACCATCCAAATCTGTCAGAGTGAGCGTCCTCCACATTTACCAAGTGGTTCCGCCTTAATGTGGTACTGCAGGGCTGAGCGCTAGAGTTGTAACCTGAGACCGAACCGGAACTGAATCAGCCCGACCGGTTCTGTTGGATTTGGGCCGTGAATTAAGTTAATTGAGTGGGTTGTCATGCGGCGTGCTCCGCTCGCTCGATCAGCGACTGAGAGAGAGAGACTGTCTGCTCACATCGGAGGACGCTCCTTCAAACCGATGCTCCAAACACACGTTATTATTTTCATAATTTAATTATTATTTCTCCTGGAAGCGCTCAGTCAGACTGCTTGTTGTAAAGTAGGGAGATCCGGTCTTGGGGAGGGGGCGGGGTCAGTGACGGCGGCTGCAGCGTGATCGTCTGTCTCTTTTATTTAGGGACACGGAGAAGTTAAAATGAGAGAGAAATAGAAGATAGAAGTTCTTGTTCCACTTTATTCTTTTGTTCCATGATGATAAACTGATGTTAAATTCAGCTTAAAGAGAAACTGGGAGGAAGCTTTGGTTCATTTTAAGTTACAGGAGGTCTTGTCTCCTATCTGCTCCTCCTGAGACAGCATGGACATGAGGGCCACATGGACATGAGGGTTACTTGGTGAGGGTTACACAGGACAGGTTAGTGGAAAGGTTTGTAGTTAGCTGGTTAGTGAAGGAGATCCATCAGCTGGGTAATTTAATCCTAATCCAGCCCACAGCCTTCTGCTGGTGTTCTTATCAGGAAGAATAAAACACACATCTTAAATATTATTGGAAGTGTAGAATTTGTTTTGTGTTTTATTTTCTGCATCAAACAGAACTTGATTCATTCTCCAACATTTCAGAAATGAACCACTGGGTTCAAATGAAATTAAGTCAAACATTTAATTTGGTGTTATTTCTGACACCCTTCAACTGTGGCATAAATATTGGACTCTAGAGCTGCTCAGAGACATTAAACACTCATATATGAACCCATTATGTATTTTATTATTACATTATGTGTCCTGTAGGTTTTCAGTACTTTTTTAGATTTTGTGAGTTTTTGCAAAGAGTGTTTTTCTCAGCCTGAGGCCTGGTGTTGAACGAGGAAACAGATTGTTTTACTTTGTTAAATCTTCTGAAATGTTTAAAATGTTTTGTCCTAACCTGTTGTGAATGGAGAGCTTTTGAGGGATGGCAGGTTGTGTCACGTTTTTGATAAAAATAAATAAAAATAAAAAGCAATTATCTGACATCGTCTATTTATCGATGAAAACAAATCAATATGAAATAATCGTGATGCATCGGGATATCGAATCGAATTGAATCGTTGACCCAATAATCGTAATCGAATTGAATCGGGAGACAAGTGAAGATTCACACCTCTACAGGTCATGGCTGGTATGTGGGTCTCCAGAAGCAGTAGACAGGTACCGGATGGCCAAGAGGGTTGCAGCAGTGGCTTTTTCATTTTAAAAAACTGTAGCTTGATCTCTTGACTTTACACCCAAGTTTGAACTTAAAACTGTAATTATGATTTCTGCTCCATACCTCCTCTAATTGTACACATAGAACTATGGAAAAGAACAGAAAGCAACTAATAAGAAAATGAAAACACTCCTCTTTCACAAACGTACCTTCTTCTCATCCAGCAACATCATCACTTTGAATAGAAGGACGTCGTTCACAACAACCTCCTCGTTCTTATACAGGATTTGGAAAGTTTTGCTGCAGATGACGTCATCTTGGACTGAAGCAGGGAACGCCAGATCAGAGCCTAAATGAAAACCACTAATATTAGCAGACTGATAAAACAAAATCCTCTGAAAATACAGAAAGTGTTTTTATATATCTGAACGTAGGTGAACAAGCGCATCCCTAAACGAATCGTGTGACGCAAACATCTGAGAAGCTCCTTTACCTCCTGCATGAAGCAGACTGGTTTCCACTCTGTGTGGAACACGTGGAGGCATCTTAAGACTGGCACGCATCTGGTAGAACCTGGAAAAGGGTTGTTTGAATGAATTAATAGCAGGAATTAAAAATGCGTCGTGAGCTCTGTGTAGAATATTATGAACAGGGAACATGTTGCATAGATCAGATCTAAATGCCTCAACTTGTAAAAGGACACCCTCATAAATGAATTATGAGCACTTTCTTTTAGAGTCATTCATGTAGTAAAATGCTCGTGAAGCACTGATGAGTCACAAACTGAACTGGAGCGTTATTCGAGCAAAGAAGAGTATCGCTGCACAACAGCTCCGAAAGATATTCCTGGATGTGAAGAAAATTAAACTGAAAGAGCTGGGCTGTTGGAAATAAACCACTGAAATAGCACATTTAAGCATTGTTAACTACTCTAAATCCTTTAAAGGGACTATAAGGAAGTTTGACAGCCAAAACATGTATAGTAGGGCTGTAGCGAAGCCTCGACGAAGTCGACGGCTCGATTCTAAAAATTTGTCGACGTCAGATCCGGAAGTCGACGCACCGCGCCCACTTGTTGCATCCCCAGGAGTTTGTAAATAGAGGAGGAATCTGCCTGTTTTTCCTGTAGTTCGCCCTCTTCTCCGCCTTCACTAACATCTCCGCCAAATACCGAAGACCCGGAACAACGTCCGTCCACTACTAGATTATTTTCCTGTTTTGCCCCTTCGTCTCCCGGCAACGGACAACAACTTCCGGGGTCAGATGCGCTGCTTCGTGTCTATCGCAGATGTAGAAAATCACCGGGAGCGCTTCTCCCTTCATTAAGGAGCTTCTTTCAGACATGAGGAGAGCTGTTTTGGTGGTAGCAGTCTCTCCTCCGTGCTGGTCTGTTTGCTGCTGGGTGTTTTGGTTTATTTAAACTTGGTAACTTGAACTTAACGTTGGTAAAGCTACTGTTAGCATCTTCGCTAACAGCTTCTTGCGTTGGGATAAGCTGTTACGTTTTGGTTTAGAGTTCATCTTTTTTGTGGTGTAGATCTCCCTTTTATTACATTTAGAGTGTTGTGGGTTTTCGGTTTAGTGTAAAATATCACCTTGAGTTTGGTTTAACCCGTAACACCACTCGCCTCACGCACATAAGTGACCAAAACAAAGCAGCATGGAGACACTCCATCTTCTACCACCTCTCAGGCAGCAGCCTGCACTCCCAAGTTCTACACGTCACCAGAACATAACCAACCGCAACACAATAAACGCAGTGTTATACAAAATGGAAGGCCTGTAGTGTTTATTCTCTTACAGTAAGAATTTATCAATTTTTTTTTGAGGAATTTATTTGAGATTTTCTGGTTTTTGTTAATTGTGCAATAGAAAAATAATCATTAGATTAATTTTCTAAATAGTCATTAGAATAGTCGACTATTCGATAAAATAATCGTCAGAATAATCGTTTTAAAAATAATCGTTTACCCCCAGCCCTAATGTATAGAAATAATAAATTTCTTCTTCATACATTCTCCTGCAATGCCCTGGTCCTGTAGAATGAGCCCTGGCATTTTTACTGTGATTGCATGTTTTTCTGTAAAATCACAGAGAAAGAGAGCTGCTCGGGTCGAGCAGGCTGCTTCATGCGCGTTCACGCTCACGCATAGCCCGTAGCATTTGCTCTCAGTAGCTTTAGCAGCAGAGAATGAGGTAGTGCCAAGTCAGCGACTTTGTCGCTGTTCCTAACGCCTAGTGATGAACCTAGCTACATTTCTGAGGACCCTTAGCTACTTTCTTCTAGATATTTCCTGCAAATTAGCAACAAAATAGCTATTTTCGCTCTGAACCGTTCTTTGAACGTTGTTTCAGCTGTCATCAAGGATATAAATGTTACAGATACTCACGCTCACTCAGTTTAACGGCTGACTCTAATGCGGAAGACCCGAGTTCGATTCCGGATGTGAACATAGTTTATTTAAAGGTTTTTTTTTTACATCAATGTTATATCTTTTTACAGTAAGATGCCCAAATTTTTATTTGAGACTCCCCGAACGGCATTGAACTCACAGATAAAAAAGATGTGGGTTCAACTTTCATTTTGGAACAATTTTTCAAGCAAGGGAAGGGAATGATCTGAGCATGCAGGAGGACTGACCCATCATAAACCTTTGTCGGCTGTGCTGAAGAGAGGAGCCCTGTGAAGCTGACCCCCCATCAGCTTCAAAAATGGAGGCAAATAGGCTGCTGAAGCAAGGTGCAGAACCAAATTAATTAATTAGCTGCGCATTCTCCTGTCCTCCGGGCCACACACACACACAGGACTGTCTCAGCTGTTATTTTCGTTAATGAGTGTGCACGTACAGCATGCACGCCTCGTGCACAAGCCTAATATTGAAGCTGCCGTTACGCTTTTGGCCTGAGGGGGCAATCGCGAGCATAAAAATTCAAAACTCCTTAAAGTTCCTTTAAAGGTGTTGAACACTTGTTAAATCAATACATCTGAAGTGGTCTCTAGTAGGAATGAATGCCTTGTAAGTTGTGCTGGGGGGAAACAAGCCCAGAAGTGCCTGTATCAGCCCGCTGGACAGGGTGGCAGAAGATGACAGGATTTGGAGGCTTAGTTCCTGTTATTTGGACAGCTCTCCTCTGATTGGCTAACAGTAACCAGACTACCACTGACTCTGTTTTCTTTACAATGTGGATGCTTTATCTCAACAAATAACACAAGCCAGGAGGAGTTCTGCTGTGTGGTGGTCGAGTTGCTAATGCTAACGGTTAGCTTCTACTCGCCGAGATATTCTCAGCCGCTTCCTGGACGCTCAACCAACACCAGCCTTCCCCGTCACAAGCCAAGATGGGTGAGTCCATGAATGTTAAGTGACAGTGCGATGCAGATCTGTCAGGATTTGGGGCAGCAGTAGCTCAGGAGGTTGAGCAGGTTGTCCAGTAATCGGAAGGTTGCAGGTTCGATCCCGGCTCCGGACAGAATCCTGCTGTTGTGTCCTTGGGCAAGACACTTAACCCATCTTGCCTGCAAGTGGTGGTCGGAGGGACCGGTGGCGCCTGTGCTCGGCAGCCTTGCCTCTGTCAGTGCGCCTCAAGGCAGCTGTGGCTACATCGTAGCTCATCATCATCAGTGTGTGTGTGTGTGTGTTTGTGTGAATGGATGAATGATAACACTGTAGTGTAAAGCGCTTTGGACTCCTTACTCTGAGAGGCGCTATACAAGTGCGGGTCATTATCATTTAGAGGTTCACCGTCAATTTTCTATCAGCTGCTAATGCAGGAGATTGGTGTAGGAGACTATTTTCATGTTCACCCTGCATGAAAAACTCTGTGTGACTGATTATAAATTAGAAATAATCAATAAAAAAAGTTTTTCCAGTGTTCGACACCTTTAAACTTAAGTGATGTTTGCTTTAGTGATCTGGTCATTCATTTAAACCCACCCAAAAGGTTGTATTAGAGTACTACAGCCATTTAACACGAATGTTCGCATCAGAAAAGCATTCCTTTGCTTTTGTTTATTCAAATCTGGTTTAGCTCAGCGTTAAACAACATTTGCCTTCCAGAGAGATTCATTTCCATATTACAGTTTACTTGGTTCTATTATTATTATTATTTGCCATGCAGCGCTGTAGCTACCTAAATACAATTAAAATATGGTGATCTCACCTGTTTTCAAGGCTCTGCATTAATTTAACTTTTAACAACAAAAGTAAGTATTTTCATATATATGCACACTCAGTAGACGACTGTAGAAAGTGTCAGTCTTTCACTGTTCAAACGCTACAACAAAGGCATCATGGATGCATTCCTAAAGAAGTGATTAAATTAAAAAAGGGAGAACCACATCTGCTGGTGATTGTTACACAAAGTATCTGCCTGTATCAGTAAGCCTTGGGCCTGGAAAGATGGACTTGTGATTGTGCAAACGTCTCGAGAATTCAGCTACCAGCTAAAACAATCACTGACCTCCACTGCCTCACCTTTGACGAACATCTATCATTACTGCATAAACAGTGAAAATAGGACAAACTGCATTTGTACGAGTAAGCATGCTCGATGCTGTTTCGGCAAAAAAATAAATAAATAAATAAAAGGAAAAGCCTGAAGTCCTGACCAAGACTGCCACCTGTCTCAGATGTGGAGCAGAACACACCCAGTTTCCCTTCCACCATAAACTGTTAAGCAGCCTGTCACTGAAAATCCTGTCAAACCATACCACAATCATTTAATTATATTTGTAGATTAAGGTAAACTTACATTAAAAAAACATTTTAAAGGGCTTGTTGACTGAGATACCATGTAAAACTTGTTCAGTTTGAAATACGATCGCCAACTCTGAGCAGCATTGCACTGATTGTGATTTTCTTCTATCCCCATCGGCTGCATTAGCTGCAGGAAGCCTAGACAGAAAAATGCTCGGTTCAGAAAAAGCCATGTCACTGGGAGAACTGGCATTCATGGCACCGCCTACCTTGGTCACGACCACAAAAGGCTGGTTTTGATTTAGTACCAGGAGAGAGCAGAGCATGCCTCGGGTAGTAGAAGCTAACCGCTAGCATTAGTAGCTCCACAACATGGCGAAACACGTTTGGGCTTGTGTTATTTGTGAAGATAAAACACCCACGTTGCAGAGTGGTTGAGTCGAGTTGCTGTTAGCCAATCAGAGGAGAGACGTTTGCATACCATGAATTTTAAAGCTACAATGGAAAATTCGGAAAACAAATTAGCTAAAAACATTTTTTATGCCTTTTAAGAATCTAACATAAGATGGCTAGAAATATATTGTGGAGAAATAAATAATGAATGAAGTGGTTCTCTCGCATTTGTGTAACAACCTCTGCCAATAACACATTTTGGATCGAAAGCAACTATTGGACCATCCGGTTGTCAGTCCTACCGAACCGTCACACTTTCCTGGGTCCTCCACTCATCACACGCTCGCGTATAAGGACAGAACACCACTGGTGTGAGAGGTTCTCCACTCAATAATATCAGAGAAGGAGAAACAGCCAGCTGCTACCCCTTCAACTTTAGGACAAACTACTAGAGTCTCAAAAGGAAAAACACCGTTTGAACAAACAAAAGATGTTTGGACGTACAAAATGGTGACTGGTGTTTGTACGCTCTCACTGGTAATGCGGGTGTCCGGTTCTGGCAAAAGCGTCTCAGGGAATACCTATGGTAGAGGTGCGTGTTCCGTGACCGTGTTCACATTCAAAACCTAGTTTGTTCTGTAATTTGCTAAAGCAGCCGAGTAAGACTCGTCGTTTTTTGCCCACCCTCCTCCGACAAACTTCTACCCCTAAAACTAGAGCACCAGAGATTTTTTTCCACAGTAAATTGGCAAAAAAAAGTGAATTAGACCTTTAAGATTTCTACAAACGTGAAACAGAACTCACCCCCGTTGAAACAGGTCCACGTTGTAGAACTTGTGGAGCTCCACAGAGAACTCCACTGTGGCCTGGACTTCAGTCATCTTGGTCTCTACAAGAAGAGGTCCTTCACGTCATCTTGAATACATCTGATGGCCTGTGGGTGACGATAAAAAATAACAATAATAAACTGAAACAAGAATCTGGATCTGACCTTTTGAATTTTGTTAAAACGTGATTTAGTAGGTTTGCAAATAATAAATAACAGGTTCACGTTCAAAATAAGAGATACTAATTTTTGTGAAAACAAATTCATACATCTTTAAGGAGTAAAGATCACTTTAAAATTTTGTAACTATTTAGAAATCAGGTTGGTTTTCAGTCATTCAAGTCCAACTGTATAACTAGGACCGAAGGAAAATGACACCAACAACACTTCAAAAGCAGGCGTGAAATTCAATACTGTAGTGTTAGAAATAAACAGACGCCCTGCCATTAAACAAACACTTTCAGCTCATGATGTAATTTTAAAAAAGTCAGAATATTTCCAGCTGTCGTAGAAGAAAAACATTAACCTGCAGAAAACAAAACAACCCGCTAACCGATATGAATTATTGAATTAAGTTAAGGACATTCATTTTAATTAAATATGTTTTTAAAATAACAAGACAACCCATTGCTGGGGTGGGATTATGCTAGCTTGTAATTTGAGTAAAATTGTTTTATAGCATCACTAAAGAAAATATTTCTGCTTTATGAGTGAGCTGCAAGACCTCAGATTAATTCAGCATAAGGTAATCCTGTTACAACCGCAGAGTTGGTAAATATTTACACACATAAAAATTTTAACCTACACAATAAAAGGTCAAAGAAAAGGATGAGTAACTATTTACATTCGATTTTAGAGATAATATTGTGTGTTGGGTGTGGCAGTGACTGGTTTATCTGGTTAGTCGTCTGTTTTAATTAATAAAGACATAAAAACTCTGTTATATGCCATAAAACTTAAGTGTCTAGACCGCAGAATGTTGCTGGTGTAAACTTGCAGTAACGTGATGTAACATGAGCTGGGTGCATATTTTGCTTAGGTGTTCATTTACAAAAACACTAGTAAAATACAATCTGCACCTCTATCAGCTGTGACACTACAAATAAAAAAGGACTTGAATGGAGCTGTAGCAACAGATCTGTCTGTATAGCACTGACAACTCACCTAAAAATACCTTTTGTCAACAGGTCTTCATGTTATTTTTAGTGTTGTAGCCACATTTATTAAACCACAAGACCCTATGTAAATACATCCACACTGTTTGGAAACAGCTATTCAAATTCCATGCAAAACAAGTCAAACACCCTTATTGTGGTGACTTAAAGTGTATTTTTAAGGCATGTCCCATCAGATCACATCATGTCCCATCTGTTACAACAGCAAACATGTTTCCTCAGATGGCTTATTAAGCCACAAATATTATAATGTTAAGAGATGAGGCCTTAATTCCTTAACAGATGGTGTATCTTTGTAAATAAATATCAGGTGTTAAGCTAAACAGGCTAGTTTAAAGAGAAAAGACACAAAGTTATGTCTTGGAAACATTTGGTGTCATTATCAGAAGTGAGTGAAGGAGTGATAAAGCTGCCAAGTTAGTGGGCAGAATCTCTGCACCGGTATCAGTTACAGCTAAGAACCATCCAACAGAAATCCGAGATGCTCTCAAAATCTCACGAACGATTCAAGAAAGTTACAACATGCAAGGAAAACCTAAGAACGAAGCCTCATCAGAGTCATCGTGATGTTAGCCGCCCACCGAACAGTTGTCATTAATATTAGCTAACGCTACTCACCATTGCGTTGGCAAGCTAACGTTAGCTCGCTAGCTAACCAGTGTTAGCTTAAATTTCAGTTCTCTACTCGTCCTCTTGACTGTGGGCTGCTGGCAGAAAAATAAAAACCCGTATTGCTTCGCTTACTTGTCCGGTAACGTGTACAAGGACAACCGCAGTCCGAATTAAGCACAGAGCTGAGCGACTATGTGGCTGTTTGCTAGGCAAATCCAGCTAACCGCGGGCTCAATCTGCGGACGGAGCTGACAGCAGGCGCTGCTGCAGCTGCTCACTGAGCGGTTAAGTCAGCTGTGCTTCCTGCACACAGCAGAGGCGCAGCAGGCTCCATAATAATAATAATAATAATAATAATAATAATAATAATAATAATATATTTTCATAATAATAATAATAATAATTATTATTATTATTGTTATTATTATTATTATGAATGATTGAAAAACTTTATTATTACTGTACTTTGAGACAGATCAATGAAATTATGTGTTCCTCTCCTATGAGGTGCAATCCATAAGAAACAACACACACACACACACACACACACACACACACACACGCGCACGCACACACACACACACACACACACACACACACACACACACACACACACACACACACACACACACACACACACACACACACACACACACACACACACACACACACACACACACACACGTTTGTCTTTCTATCAAAGACATTGACTTCCATTCATTTTTGTGATTCCACTGCGCCTGACCATAACCAATGCTGATCTATTCTTAACCCTAACCTTAACTAAAATGTAATTCACACCCTACCTCTAAAACCAACTTGTATGCTTCTTTAAAAATGTGAGGACCAAAAAATGTCCTCACTTACTGATTTAGGGTTTTTCATTTTTAAACATTTTTTGGGTGATTCATTAGTCTAACTCCACACGCTACAATTTTATTAATTTATTTTTTATTTAGTCATTTATTTATATATGGGATTAAATGAAAATCATTTGAATTGAATAAACAAATACATATCCTTGAGTAAAATATATTCTAGCAACAAAAACACATAGTTGCCTTTTTTCTGAGCACCAGTGGAATGTGTGAATATTTCTGTGGATGTTGTTGGCGTTAAACAAGATCCAAACTCCGATCTTGAGTGCAAATGAGAAAATGTTGCTCATCTGCAGAGGCAAAAAAAAAACCCAGACAAACAAAAGATTAACTTTGAAATTAAAGCATTAAAATGATGCTGTATATGTGATAAAACATTTTCACATAAAAGGCAGAATTGGCAGATTAATTTACACAATGTGTTTCTATTGACCTCAGATGGGATCATCACACCTCTGCTTGCTGCTCACAAGTAAAATGAAGCTACTTTAGTGTAACAATGTATATATTTTTTACTTTTACAGTAATACCAATGACAATATGGATGCCTAAACGGGGTAAATGTCTTGTAGCCGACTTCACAGTGTGACCTGACACATTTCATTCTCACTTACAGAGCAACAAAACACCAAACTGGTCTTTCCTGGAAGTCACTACAAAGAAACGCTATTAAAAATGTAAAACTAAACAAATTATTAATGATTGTGTGATTAATGTGTCACATGACTTAGTTTTAATCTCGCTGTTACAGTTTCTGTGCAGGTGTTCGTTGCAGAGTGTTGCAAACAGTTTGATCAGATCATCGTTGAGGACGTCTCCGCAGGGCTGATTTGTGTTTCCACTGCGTTTTTGTTTTTATTCTCTGAATGAGACAAATGCTGATTTAGCAATGATGAAGAATGCATAAACAAAACATCGGGTAAAAAAAATTCAATTCAGCTTTAAACATCTAGAATCCTCATTGCAACGCCCTGCTTTGATACCTGTCAGCACCAAAGACATACATACAGTCAGCACAAACTTCTTTTGCACGGACTTGAGATCCATATGACCAAAAATATCTTATTTTTATTTAACTGCATTTTGATTTGGTCTAGTCATAATATTAAATTCATATTACTTATTTCAAGCACATATTAAGATAACCATGTAGATTTTGGGGTCTCATTTGACGTTTAGCACAGTAAAATAAAAGGTGTGGCACATTTTTGGCATTCAAACTTAATAAAGCTCTCGCCCACATGTGTAAAAATAAGCAAATCTTGAGCTTAAATGTAAAAGAGAGAACCACAAACAGTCAGGACTTACCTAATATTTATTCTAGGCTGCATTGGTGCAGCTTTCCAAACACTCAGCTTACATTCCTGGTCAACAAGATGCCCACACATACTTCGTTTTGTCTTCCCATCTTGTTGCTGTGAGATTTTCTGCTTTCTTGTGGGGCAAGAGCAGCAGGGAGGATTATCTTTCCAGACTGACTCACAAAATAGCAATGAAACTACCGATGGACACAGTAAAAAAGGTTCTTGTGTCATTGCATAAGTATAAGCATTCTGCTTCTGCCTGAGCCTTTTCAGTCACTTTAAATGTAATGTTTTTGTAATGGTTTATTGCTTATATTGTGTTTTGTTATATTTCTGACGGAATAAATCAAATAAAAAATTTAAGCAGTAAATACAACACATAAAAATAATGAAATGATCTAATACCAAAAAGCAATATCATAAAATGTGATTTTAAAAAATTATTTCTATTTCTCAGTCCAATCTCCATCTTTAGAACAAGGCAAACCGTGTGGGTCTACACCAGCATACTGTTTGTAAACAGTGACACCTAGAGGTTAAATTAATATAACGCCATTCACCCTGTCCATGGTCCTGAATGTAAAATGTCGTATCAGCTGTTTTTATAAACATAACAAATAAATGTCTCATAAAAAGCAAAGTTTTATTATTGAATTTGAGACTTAGGAGTGCTCACCGTCACATTTTAGACAACTCAGAAGAGTTTGTGTGCCAGAGTGGCTGCAACTAAATAAAATGTGGATTTTTCAGTTTTCTTTTAATTGGGATGAAAAAGAAGGTTGTGGGTGACGACTATGAAGCTGAAAAGGGTCTGCAGTATTCCTCTCTCTGATAAAAGGTCCGTTTGGATCAAATTTTGGGTCCTCCACAGAATTTGTTTCAGGCAAATAGAGCGGGTCTACTTGAGGGTGGATGTCCTTATTTTATCGCTTAATCTGGGAAATGAAACGTGCATAATTAATTTAACCTTTTATATGTTTCTCTGTCTGTTTACCAAACATTTATTTATTTATTTTATCTTTAAAAAAATCTTTATTGTGCTTGCGATTTATTCTCTCAAAAGGTGCCATACAAGAACACATTTCTTCTTCTTCTTCTTCTTCTTCTTCTTCTTCTTCTTCTTCTTCTTCTTCTTCTTCTTCTTCTTCTTCTTCTTCTTCTTCTTCTTCTTCTTCTTCTTCTTCTTCTTCTTCAGGCTGACTGCCACAATTTGTGATGTCCAAATGGATAATTAACAACATGCTATTTTTATTGACTACAAATAAAAACAAAATAGAAATTCCTTTTACATTCTTAGATTTAGAGGGATACCTGACTTGTTTCCTATTTACTTTGCTGATTGAAAATAAAACTAAATCAACTAGAGTGATGAGATTTGTAACAACCAGAGTAAAAGACACTTTTTAAAGTTGTGGATTACAGAACTTTTTAATGATTATTTCTGATTATAATTGGTCAATCTAAAGCTTGGGGCACACCGGAGGCGGACACGCCGTCATTTTAAAAATAAGCCATTATAATTAATGAGAGTGGCTTTACGGGGAGCGTCGTGTTGCGTCCCAGAAGCGCCGCACTGAGACGCTGAAGATAGGCATCAGTTCTGACTCAAGCGCCGCGGCTGTTGCCAACATTGTGGAGTACTTTACAACAGACATCACGATGCGGAACGGCTTTACGGCACAAACCCAGCCACAGTTTTGATAACTTTAAAGTACTATTAAGTAATTAAAATATTGTAATAAATAGCATACCCATTTTAAATGAATTAGAGTCTCACAAAACACGAACAACAGAGTCACTTCCCACTTCCTGTTCTCAAGTCCAGCATGATGTTGTGACTATCGCACAACTTTCCAAGAAGCGCTCCACGCCCTGACGCATCCTGTGTGAATACTTGACTTCTCAAAACCGCAGGCCGCGACGCAGCACGTCTGCCTCCGGTGTGTCCCAGGCTTACGTTTGTCATAAAGACTGAACATGAAAATTGACGATGAAACTCTGAAGAAAAGCCTGACAGATCTACGTAAAGCTGTTTTTGGTTTAGCATCCAGGAAACAGCAGAGAACATCTCTAGTAGTAGAAGCTAACTGTTAGCATTAACAACTCCACCACACAGCAGAACTCCTCCAGGCGTCTGTCATTTGTGGAGATAAAACATCAATGATGCAGAGCAAACAGAGTCAGTGGTAGCGTCGTGTTGCTGTTAGCCAATCAGAGTTAAGATGTCCAATTATCAGGAAAAAAGACTCGAAATCCTACCGTGTGAAGCTTTCCTCTGATGTGGGTCACTTCTTGTTCCTGAAACATTCACAACTGAGCTTTTAACTTACAAGGCATTCATTTCTACTAGAGACCACTATAAACGTATTCTTTAAATGAGTGTCCCACACCTTTAAAGGACATCTAGAAAGTAACACATCACGGTTTACTTGTTAATACGTTAATAAAAAAATTCTATTTATTTTGTTAACAGAGACAAGATGACAACATTTTTATTTTCATTTTTCCTTCCTGTGTCCTGTCTGGCTGTGAAGCAAACAGAATCAATGTCTGAATGCTGGTGACAAGCCTTACAGATTTACTCTCAGGTGGAGCATCAAAGCGTCTGCTTTTAATGTCACGCCTGATACTTAAAACTTTATTGTTATTGTATGCTTTTTAAGTCTGACCAGACACGGAGACAGAGGTGAAAGAGAAAGGACGAGACAAAAAATGGGGGTTGGGGTGGGGGGTGGGGGTGTTCCACAAAAATAAACAATAATGAACAAGAATCTGCTTCTAGACCTGCAGAAAGAGAAAAACAACACACAACAATACAACTAGAGCAAACTATCACTGTGTCAACCTGTCACGGTGTAGGAGGTGGAGACGGCGGACCATGTGTGGATGAGCTGAGCAGGAGGTAAAAGTGCAGGCTTCGGATAAAGTAAAAATGGTTTAATGGCAGGATGGGATGAACAGGAACAACACCAACAAACAACAACAATGATCTGACAAAGGACAGGGGCAAAACAGGTGGTATAAATACAGAGGGCTAATTAGGGAAACATGGGCAGGTTAACGAGGGACAGGTGAGAACAATACGGACTAATCAGGGCAGGAGAGAAACACAGTCAGGAGGGCAGGGGCAGAACGTGACAGTACCCCCCCCCCCCCCCCCCCTCAAGGGCGGATACCAGACGCCCACAAGGCTACACCACACAGGAGACAGGGACTCGAAGACTTGACTGGAGACAGGGACTCCCAAGACTGAACTGCGGACATGAAGACTCAACATGACAGGAACGAGACTAGACAGGGACTTGACTGGACATGAAGACTTGACTTGACTGGACGTGAAGACTTGACTGGACGTGAAGACTTGACTGGACTTGACTGGACGTGAAGACTGGACTGGACTGGACTGGACTTGACTGGACGTGAAGACTTGACTTGACTGGACGTGAACGGGAAGACTTGGACTTGACAACAGGAACACTGCAGGAGCAGGCGTGGAACCCAGGCAGAGAACTGCAGGAGAATGAGACCTGCAGGCATAAGCCCCACAGCATGGACCAGGAAGTGGATGAACAGCAGGAGCGACGTGAGGAAACCCAGCTCGGCGGCAGGTACTCGACAACCGGTCTGAGCAGGTGCACAGCACGATTCGCTGGGTCTCAGGCAGAGGCTTGTGTGCAGGGAAGCAGGAGAAGAGCGGGGAGACCAGCCCTACCACCCCGGAGAATGATGGCGTGCGTAGGGGGTGTAACTCCTTCAAAGCTCCAAGATCCGCAGCTTCCATGAGAAAAACAGGACGGGGACAGAAAGCAGGAGAGGAGAAGGGCTCGACCACCACAGGAAACGAACTGGATGCGCCGAAACCCACCCAGAGGCTTGACCACCCCGGAGAACAGGTAGGATGCGCCAACACCCTGGGCCAGAATCTCCTTTTGCTAAAGGAGAAAAAGTAAAAAATAAATCCTCCAGGGATCAGGTGTTAGCTCACCACAGGTCCAGGTTTGGTCAGATCATTCTGTCACGTTGTGGGTGAACGAGGTGGAGACGGCGGACCAAGTGTGGACGAGCTGAGCAGGAGGTAAAAGTGCAGGCTTCGGATAAAGTAAAAATGGTTTAATGGCAGGATGGGATGAACAGGAACAACACCAACAAACAACAACAATGATCTGACAAAGGACAGGGGTAAAACAGGTGGTATAAATACAGAGGGCTAATTAGAGAAACATGGGCAGGTTAACGAGGGACAGGTGAGAACAATACGGACTAATCAGGGCAGGAGAGAAACACAGTCAGGAGGGCAGGGGCAGAACGTGACACAACCTGATGAGGAAATATAAAATAAACATTGTTTTACTGAACAATCACACAATAACTCATAGTGCATTTAGTGCCAACCACAGCTTTAAGACATGTGCTGATAAATGTCCAAGTCCATACTAATGAGAGCACCATGTGAGCACCTGTGTGCATACCCGAGCTTGTATATGTAAGGTTTCTCTACAGGAGCGTCCAATAGAGTGTGAGGGGCCACAGATCCTCCCCCAAAGATGTGTAGGAGATGGAGGGAGCTCCAAGTCCCAGAGATACAGGAGCTGCCCCAGAGCGCAGGGACCCCAGGGAGACTGTAACCAGAAAAATCCCTGCCCCCTCTCAAGAGGAGCAGAAGATTGCCCCGGGGGGCCTCAACCAGTAGCCAAGAGTCCCGGGGTGATATCAGCGACAAGCCCACAGGCTCCCACCCCCAAGCCGGCCAGTCCTCTGTTTGCTGAAATAGTAACGCATTTTCTGTTTTACCCTCAATGACTCCCATCTTTTTTTCTCAAAACTTATAAAACTTAAGCATAATTCCAGATCTAGTTAGTTGGAGTTGAGACGAAGTTCAGAATCTGCTCTTCCTGTAATGAGGGAATAAGTTCTGTCAGGGAGAACTGCCTTGGTGCTACACCTGTGTGTAAATTAATCTCAAAATGATCCACTTTTAGTGAAAAGTCTGTTCTGTTTTCACGATCTTTTCAAAGTGTCATTGAAACTACAAAGAATAATAAAAACGATTTATTTAATGAAATCTAACCGTGTGTGCAAAGCTTTTTAAATTTCCTGTCAGTTTCAGTGTTTTTCAAACTTTTCAGACACAAATACGCATTTATTTGCAAACTGAATTAAAAAAAAAGCCACAGTAAATTTCACTAAATGCACATAATTTTAATCTATGTGAGCATAATTGCAGCAAAAGCAGATTTACATTCTACATCTATATTTCTGTTCTTTTAATGTTCAACTTAAATGTGATTTCATCTCTTAACTTTTAGTCATGTGAGTGGTTGAAAAGCCCGCTGAGGCCCACCATTGGTACTGTCTCCTTAGCTCCTCCCTGCAGGGTCCCCTGAAAGCCCTCAGATCCTTTCTTGTGGCCAGTCCTTGCATGAATATACATGAGCTCCTGGGAGCTCTGGGATATTTTGCAGAGTAGCAGGACAGCTGCTGTGGATTCTGCCCAGCTAATTCCAGAGAAAGGACAAAAATCTTCATCCGTCCTGCTCTCGGGAAGACTATGGCCGGGGCCCCGTGCATCAAAGGGCCATTTCTAGTTGTGCTCCTGCAGCTTGTCCTTATCTGCTCCTCACAGGTAAGACTTTTTATGTTTCTATGCTTGTGCAGAAGTCTGCCTCTTTGTGTTTCTGGATCAATGTGACGGAGGAGCAGGTGGGTCTTCTCCCACTTATGCCAAATATTAATATTTAGTTTTACCTGCAGCTGTAGGACGTTGGGACCGTTTTTAGAAATCAGTATGAAAAAACAACAGATGTGAAAAGTTGATGTGAGGTTTTCCTTTTTGATTCTTTGCAGAAGAAAGATCTAATTTGAACAGGATGCAGGTTAACTCTCGTATCTCCTGGAAGCACCTGCTCCTTTTTCTCTAAATTTCATATCAGTGTGAATTCATGTGGATGTAAAATGGGACAGAAAGTGGTGCGATTATTTCCTGAGGTCCTGAGTGGGTATTTTATGATTTGTGGTTCAAACAGAGGAGTCAAGGACCCCCCGGTCCTCCTGGACCCCCGGGAGTCCCAGGAATTGATGGCATTGCTGTAAGTCTGTAACAATATTCCTGCATTGGTTTAGCTCAAAATAAATCCTAATCTGCTCTTCTGAAAGCTTTTTACTCCTTCTGTTCCAGGGGGAAAGAGGAGAAGTCGGCGAGGACGGTCCACCTGTAAATAGCAAACCCACTGATGACTGTTTTTCTTTTTTCACTGTGAGACCTTTGTCTAAGCCAAACCTTTGATCTCAGGGACCCGATGGGGACGCAGGTAAACTCGGCTCTTCAGGATTACCCGGAATCCCTGGAAAAGACGTGAGCATTCCTGTTTTGATGCTTTTATCTATTTTTGCTACATTGATGATTTTAAGATGAGGTCACTTTGCAGAACCTGAAACCTCTGAGGGGGAGGGGCTAAAAGCATGGCTCCTCCCCTCTTTTTAAAGAGACCAAGGATTGAACATGAACATAGTTGTGAGTTTTCTGTGAATTTTCTTTGTGCATAAAAAATTTAAAGAATTTATTAAACAAGACAAACAATTCAAAGAGACACCAGTGTAACTCATTGGTTTTCCGGGTTAAATCCAACTTTTCAGTGAATTCCAAAAACCACTGCCTCCCTGCAGGATCTCCTGGATGCTGAAAACAACAGGAGCTTTGTTGGCAGTGGTTCCCAGTGTCTTTTCCTGGATTTTTTTCCAAGCACTTGTTAGAAATGAGCCCGACAGGAATGTTGTTGTATCCTGAAAGGTGGTGGACATTTTTCTGTGCTTGTAAAGGCGAATAAGCTACATAATAGTGGATTACATGAATAGAAAGCAGATCAATTGTTGTTTACATTTTACAGAAGTTGCTCATAATTTAAATTTCTCCTGTATTATTCGAATTTTGTGATTATGATGATGATGATGATAAAGATGATGATGCTTCATGAAGTACAAATAAATTGATGCAAATGTCCTACAAAGTTAATTTTGATGCAGTCATTTATCTGAATGTCTCCGTTGCTACAGGGTTTGACCGGCCCCGTCGGAGACCCTGGGCAGGACGGTCCTCCGGGACAGAAAGTGAGTGACTAATGAGCTTTCCCACTTCAGAGGATGTCGGTAAAATGATGCCAAGCCGCTGTCCATTTATTTTATTTTTCTGGCGTGGCAGCAAGAGCCGCAGTGCATAAGCCAATTCCTCCTGACAAATGAGACTTAATCCAGCAAGTCTTGTGTGTAATCCCCATGGGGCACCAAGCCCCAACATTTCTCCTAATTAGGCTAAACATTGCTGGGTCAAGTGTGCCCGGCTTAGTCATGTGATGCGCTGGAGGAATGTTGATTCCCACCATCTGCAAACTCGTACAGCTCACTTCCAACTCAGCTCAGTGTTTCTAAATGTGTTTTTGTGCCTATTTTTATGTTTATTTCTATGGATTAGGGTGAACCTGGGAATCCCGGGCCTCGCGGAGCAGCTGTGAGTAAACAATCCAGGCCCAAAATCAGAGGATGTTAAAAGAACCTTGAATTTTAAGATTTAAAAATTTCCTTTCTGCTCAAAAATGTTACACTGCTCATTTGCCTTTAGGGTGTTGGGCCAGATGGACCCCCTGTGAGTAAATATAATATTTTTAACAATACCCAAATCTATGGTGGTGTCGTGATTGTTGAATTCATGAAATGTGTCTTTTAAAGGGACCACCAGGGCCTGGAGGACTTCTGGGTGAACTGGGAAAAGCTGGCCCACCAGTGAGTAAAGATGGAACATTAAGAACCAAAGCTACAAACAGGAGCCATGAGTTGATGCTGTTTCGAACGACAAAACGGATTTTAAAACCACACCTGCTCCATGCACGTCGTAGCAAACATGCTTCCGATAAGTTCCGTGTTAGCTTGATGTTTCAAAATGTTCTACTAATTTTCCAGTCACATTAAAACAATAGCAGAAGTTTCATAGATTTAAATGTAATTCTAGAAAACTCTTAAATTAATAAAAATTTAGATCAAAATGTAAAAAGATCTTTAATTTACTTTTTACTTTGATTTAAAATGTAAAACTTTTGTCCAATTTTTGTTAGATTTTTTAAATTTAAATCTACTTTTAAACATACATAAGATGAGATGAGATGAGATGATGGTATGAGATGAGATGAGATGAGATGAGATAAGATAAGATAAGATAAGATAAGATAAGATAAGATAAGATAAGATAAGATAAGATGGGATGGGATGGGATGAGATGAGATGAGATGAGATGAGATGAGATGAGATGAGATGGGATGGGATGAGATAAAATAAGATGAGATGAGATGAGATGAGATGAGATGAGATGAGATAAGATAAGATAAGATAAGATAAGATAAGATAAGATAAGATAAGATAAGATAAGATAAGATAAGATAAGATGGGATGGGATGGGATGGGATGGGATAGGATAGGATAGGATAGGATAGGATAGGATAGGATAGGATAGGATAGGATAGGATGAGATGAGATGAAATGAGATGAGATGAGATGAGATGAGATGAGATGAGATGAGATGAGATAAGATAAGATAAGACAGGATGAGATGAGATAAGATGATAAGATAAGATAAGATAAAATGAGACTTTATTGATCCCACAGTAGGAACGTTTGTGCATTACCACAGCTCAGACAGATAGTAAAAGAGTACAAATGCGACCAAGATAGTAAAAATCAAACAACCAACAAAAAAAAAAAAAAAAACACGATAAACAACAGTAGTTCCTATGTAGACGCATACACAGTAAGCATTATGGATAGGGCGTTGTGAAACATTGTGGAAGTAAAATCATTACATTGAATTATTTATATTAAATAATTAAAATTACAACTACCCTTTAACGCTAAATTTTAAGTTTAAACTAATTTTAAGATTTAAACTCAAAATAATATTTAAGAATTTAAATAAAAATTGAAATTAAACTTAAAATTACATGCACAAGTTTTAAAGGCTATTGCCAAGTTTCAGTTTAATTTACATTTAAACTGGCCGTAGCCTTTTAAATATTTCAAGAGTAAAACTAGAGTTGGACATTTGACAAACCTCATGAAAATGAGATTAGTGTTGAAATCCTTTTCCTTGTTACAAGTAATACACATTAATGAACTCTTGAAAACGTTTGCGTGTCTTTTCACAGGGAGCCATGGGTGTGAGGGGGCCACAGGGGCCTCGTGGACCTGCTGGACCCAGAGTAAGCTTTCCAACCTGTCCATCCATATGAAGGTTTTCACCCGCTTATCAGAGTGTGGGTTGTGAGGGTAGCAGCTCCAGCAGAGAGACCCAAACCTCCTCCACCAGCTCCACCAGCAGGATCCCCTGGTGTTTCCTGGCCATTGTGGAGACATAATGCCTCCAACGTGTCTTGGGTCGACCCGGTGGGATACTGCTGCCAAAAAAATCCAGGGGACATTCTGACCAAATACCTAAACTACCTCAGACATGGAGGAGCAGTGGCTCTATTCTGAGCCCCTCCCAGAATTCTGAGCTGTTTACCCCATCTGAGGCTGAGCCCAGACACCCAACGGAGAAAAATATTTTCGGCAGCTTGTATTCCCAAGTTCGATAGGTGATTACCCACAGCTCATGACCATCAGTCAGCTTTGCTTTCAGGCTTAGCCCCTCTTCACCACAACCAATCTGCCCCCTCCTTCCCACAGTTGTGAACAAGACCCCGAGACACATAATGAACTGAACTCAATTGTAATGTTGGAATGGGACCAGTGGCACCAATGTATGGCAGCCTCGCTTCTATCAGTGTGCCCCAGGGCAGCTGTGACTACAATGAAGCTCATCAACATCATCATGTGAACGTGTGTGTGGATGAGTGATTAGTGTGTTGTAAAGGGCCTTGGGGAGCTGTAGGACTCTAGGAGGCGCTGTATAAATACAGGTCATTTATAATTTTTTTACCATCAACTGTGGGTGTTCCTGTTCCATGTCTTTTGGATTTATTTTATGTTTCTAAGACGCTACATGTAAAAATGAAATCAGTGTCTAATGTACAGATTTTGGGTTGAAACTCATTTTCGTTTCACTGTCAAGACACCCTATATATGTGAATATATACGTAGTTTGGCCACAACAAGTCTGGCCCGGCCTGCAGAGGCTCCTATGGAGCGTGACTTGGCCGACATGCAGAGCAAAATCATTTAGCTTCAGCCACTGACAGTCTAGATTTCTAGCCCACATTTTTGTAGCAGTTGATTTGATTTTGTAGAAAAATCAAATTATTAGTCTGTAATTCTTTTTCAATTTCAGGGGGCTTCTGGAATGCTGGGCTCTGCTGATCTGGTAAAGTACAATTTTATCTATCTACACTCTAAAAATAATTGTTAAATTATGTTAACAGGTTCTACTAAACCTAGCTGCTTAAATATAAAGTATATTTACCTTTAACAGAACAACATATAACAATGTATATTTCTGTTTGTATTAACATTTTGACATAATATGGTTAAGTAAATTCAACATTTTATTTTTAGAGTGTACATACAATTTTTCCTTTTGTAACAATGATGTCAAGGCCACATACAGACTCCTTTTGTTGTTTAGTGTCCAAACTCGTGTCCGCCTGGTACCTCTGGACATCCTGGCCTTCCTGGTATGAAGGTGAGAAATTTTTCTCTAAATTTGATTTGCGTGAAATAAAAACAAAAACTACATTTCTTCTTTGAATGTTTGATTTCAGGGTCACAAAGGGGTGAAGGGTGAAGCAGGAGAACCTGGTAAACAAGGACACAAGGTAAAAAGAAAATATCAAAATAAAATTATTTAGATAATATGGAATAATGTATTTTGACCCATAAAATTGTACGAGTAGCATGACATCCACTTAGTAAGCAGGTTCCTGATACAGAGAGCATGTTTTTCATGCTGCTCTATTTGCCAAAACCAGCAAAATGGCCTTTAGCACAATTCCTTTGACTCTTTGCACAAAGGATGATTGATTTGAAATGATGTTCAAGCACAACAAATCTCACCTAGTAATGTCTCCACGAACTATAATATAAATGGAAATCAGTCTGGGTCTTCTCCCTACGTCAGAAGATGATTTACTGTCGGTCAGCTCTCTGTCGGTCTTGATTTTCCCATCTACGGGGCCTTTTACCACCTTCCCTTCGCTTACAAAGTCACAAATATGAAAATACCTCATACATAACAATAAACAGGAACATACAGCTGTGTTTTTGAGGCATAATTTCAATGAATATCTGTACTAAATTCAGCATTTAAAAAAATGTTCCTTTAAGAAACATTGTTCCAATGGAAAAAAATCTAGGCATGTCCAATATTATCGGTATACCATTTATCAACTGATCTTGGCATTAAAATGTAATTTCATAAAATATCACAATTGGATTTTACGCTTTTAATGAGCCAACTTTTACAAACCATGCACATATTAAACATTTAACTCTTCAGCTACTTCTCTCTGTCTCTCAAAATGTTATAATATGACAGATCTGAGGTTTAGTTTTTGAATTGTTTCTGTTTTGTACAACTTGTGAAGAAGTAGAAAACTGCCCTTTTCTAGTGACTGTGTTGTCCTCACAACACGTAGCTGTGTAGCTAGCCAGCTAGCAAACCTCTAAAACTAAAACAAGAATCTTCACCCAAGGCTTGCTTTTTAACTGAAGATTTTTTATAAAAGTTGTATCCCAATAGATGCAATATACAGCAAAAGAAGAACATTGCTAACTAAGATAAACATCTTAGTGTCACACTTAGCAATTAGCCTAGCTTAGCATGTGTACATAATTTAAGTGCATGATTTTGTCATTCACACACAGTAGATGAGCAGCGTTCGTATTCAAATCACCTCCTAAAGGAGAGACACTGCTCAGGTGCAACTGTTAGTAGAATTATTGTATTTTCTCACAAAAGTGTTTTTGTTTGATTTTCTTTTACTTGCTCAGGGTGAAGAAGGGGAGCAAGGGAGTCTAGGAGAGGTCGGATCTCAGGGGCCAACGGTGAGATATTTACACAAAATTAAACATTTTAATGCAAAAGAATATTCTTTTAAGTGTCAGATTCTGTTTAGCTGCTCACTCGTGCATCTTTTAATTCTGTTTGTTTGTTTAGGGACCTCAAGGGATTCGTGGCGCCACAGGGATGATGGGTCCCAAAGGAGAGATGGTGAGAGATATTGTCTCTCACAACAAGCTTTCTAAGTAAAAAAAATCAAATTAAAGCTGCAAGAAGTGTTGTTAGCCATCGCAGCTCAATGTTACGCAAAATTCATGTCACAACTGCAGACATTGTGTGACACTGTCACACAATGTCATCATCACCTCATCACCACTCGGGGGGGGGGGGGGGGGGGGGGGGGTAGCAGGGCTTACTGATGTCAACATTTGTACATTTATTTTTGCCAGGATCTTGATAAGGACCAATCACAGCAGGTTTCATCCCTCTACAACTTCCTGTATTATAATTATGACAATATAAACTTTTTTGTCGAGTAGACAAAGTTTGAGGCCTGGCCTCAGCATACACAACAACTCATGATATCAGTAATTTTAAATCACCCAGGCTTTATGAGCAAACTCACCCATTTTCAAGTAAATCAATCAAATTCTCTAGGAGTTTGATCAAATGTGGAGGCTACAAACAGCTCGAACACCCCCCCGCCCCCCCCCCCCCCCCCCACACACACACACACACGAAATCAATCGAATATGGCCGACTTCCTGTTTGTTGTAGCGCATGGGTGTAACAGACTTTTGTGTGGGTCTTGGTAAGTTCTTTAAGTGTACCAGATTTCATAATGCTCTGATAAAGTATGGTCAATGAGTGGGCTGAATAGAAACTTTCTAGGAGGCGCTGTTTCTCTATGTCTATTGCAACTTTTTTTAAACCCTTAAAGGTCAGCTTCACTGAAAAATATAGTTTTTAATTATTATTTCTGATTTTTCTGATTCTTTTACCTCTGTAGGGAGTATAAGTCACTCATTTACTTCCGAACCATGGGTCCCCAGAAGAATGGAAATATGAATGCAAGTCAATGGGGCTGAAAACTCTATTTTCTAATCCTGTTTGTTATGTGTCATGGATTTCACATATGATGTCTGTTAATTTTAAATACACATTCTGATGCCAAGAAAGCGCTTATTTTCAAACGGGGAGGTTATTTTAGGTTTTGTGTGAAAATACATATAGGACTACAAATGGGCATCACTAAATTGACATCATCAAACCAGACACCAATAAGGGCAGAGGAAAACTGGCTGTAAGTTTAGCGAGCTTCAAATCCTTCCTTCAGGAGGAAAGAACCACTATAAGTCGTGTCATGTGGAAAGTAGCCACTACGCTAGGCAGGAGAGATTCTTTAGTGACGTGCCGATGTTTGATTTGTAGTCTTGCTAATTATGAACTTTTACAAGCTAATAATTCTCAAAAAAACGTGACTGGCATGGTTGAAGCATGCGTCATTACTTTTCATTTAACTTGAAGTACAACATATGAGTGATTCAGGGCAAAGCAGATTAGAAAATAGCGGGTTTTTTTTTTGCCCCACTGACTTGCATTCATTTTGTTCTTCTTCCGGGACCCATGAGCTCCCTATGCATTAGCTTCTGATAGAAAATAGACGGCGAAACTCTAGCATTTGAAAAGCTTCACACTGTCACCTAACATTCATGGACTCACCCATCCTGACTTGCGACGGGGAAGGCTGTTGTTGGTTTAATGTCCAGGAAACAGCAAAAAAAGTCTCGGCTTGAAGAAGCTAACCATTAGCATTAGCAACACCACCACACAGCAGAACTTCTCCAGGCTTGTGTTATTTTTCAAGATAAAACATCAGTGTTGCAAAGCAATCAGAGTCAGTAGTAGAGTCGTGCTGCTGATTTCCAATCTGAGGCGAGATGCCTCGTTATCAGGAAATAAGTTTCCAAAGCTGCTTTCTCTTCCAGCTGAATTCTCTGTCCTCAAACAGGCGCACCGGGGCTCTTTTTCCTCAAAGTACAACTTACAAGGCATTCATTCCTACTAGAGATCACTGCAAATGTGTTAAAAATGAGTAAAGTTGACCGTTAGCTACAAACTTTTCACACACGATTGATACTTGTGCAAAATTTGGTGGAACTTTTGAAAATATGTTGGCCTCCAAACAGCCAATTCAATTTTAGGAAGCATAATGAACACATGAATGAAAAACAAGAAGCCTTTGCAGTGCTTTTGCTGCTCATGCCTAATAAACATCTATTACAGATTATTGTCTTTGTTATTATTTTAGTAACTATTACTATTATTGCAGGGAGCTCGAGGTCCTGATGGAGATCCCGGTTCTCAAGGAGTCGGGGGAGCAACTGTAAGCTTGTTTTATCAGTGCAGATACAGCAAATATGAACAGTTACACACATCAGTATTTTATGTTTAATTGTAATATTATAGGGAGATCAAGGCCAGAGAGGAGTGATGGGTGAGCCTGGGCCTAAAGGTGAAATGGTCAGTATTTGCATTTTTTCACCACACATAAAATTCATTAAAGGTAATAAATACGTTTTAATGCCTATTATTTGACATGAAGGGCGTTCAAGGGCCAAGAGGGATCACAGGACTTCCAGGTCCTAAAGGAGAACCTGTGAGTGTCCAGTCAACCATGATAATACGTTTTCTACTTTATCTTTTTAAAAATAATCCATTTATTTTAATTTCCTCATCATCAGGGTTTACCAGGTGTGGATGGCCGTGAGGGTATTCCTGGGATGCCTGGAGCAAAGGTAGAGAAACTTTCTCACTAACAATGAAACATGTAACTTATTTATTTATTGTCTCATTTTTTGTAATGTAGCAGTTTGAAGCAGAAAGTAGCTGAAATTTCCCCATTCATTTTTTCCGCTCAGGGAAGCATTGGGAAGTCAGGCGTTCCTGGAGAGGTTGGACTTCAGGGGCTTCCTGTAAGTTTGACCTTTGACCCCAAGCTGTGATGGCTGACTGTAATTGGATTGAAACTGAGTGAACTCGGTTGTTTAAAGCATTGAGGATGCTGCAGGGCTGTGCTTGTGTCCACTCCAGCTACTGCAGCCATGTTGAGTCCCAACAAAGTGTTTTTAAATGACCTGCTTGCTCTGGATGTACGTTCTGAGCTAATTACTGTTCACCATCTAATCATCTCATTCAGCAAAAGTCAGCGCTGTGAGATGGTGATTAAACATCTACCCTAATGATTATTTCTGATTATAATTGGTCACCATGCAGACTGAACATGAAAATGGTCTCCTACACCAATCTCCTGCCTTAGCTGATGGAAAATAGACGGTGAAACTCTAGGATTAGAAAAGCCTGACAAATCTACATTACACTGTCACGTTCATGGACTCGCCCATCTTGACTCGCAATGGGGAAGGCTGTTGTTGCTTCAGCATACAGGAAACAGCAGAGAACGTCTTGGCTAGTAGAAGCTAACTGTTAGCAACTTCACAACATGGCAGAACTCCGTCAGGCTTGAGATATTTTTGAAGAAAAAAACATCAAACTCAGTTAGTGGTAGAGTCACGTTGCTAATCAGAGGTGAGAGGGCCCAGTATCAGGAAATAAGTCTCCAAGCAGTCGTCTGAAGCTCAACTCTGATCAGGCTCATTCTAGTTCCTCAAACAGGTGCACTGAAGCTTTTTTTTTTTACCCAGAGAAAAACGCAAAAGGCAGAGACCACTGCAAATAAATTAACCTTCTGGAGGCAGACGTTGCAGATTTGCAACGTTAAAACCTACCTACCTGGTTACTCCACATACGTATTTCATGAGCATTTTTTAACTCAGAACTACCCCTGAAGGACTTAGTTGTTCGTCCTTTTATCAAAAATAATTTTGAGCCTGAGAGGGTTAATAATATGAGTAAATTTGGCCTTCACGAGTTAGAAAAAAAAACACTGGATATCTTGTTTTTGGTTTAATGAAAGGGACTAATCAGAGTCAGTTAAACAATAACCAGAAGCCATATTGTCAGTATCCTAAAGACGATGTATTATGATTTCTATGGGCTACAGAAAACATGATTTGGAATTTCTTTGTACAAAATTTGTCTCATATGAAGTGATTTCAGCAGTTTTGTTCTTAAAAGTTTCCGTACTTTCCATAATGAGCAGTTTCAGGGTTCTGTCACTTTAAGAAAACAAGCTGGAGCTGGCCACCCCCACCCATCCCCCACCCAGGCTGCTATAAGCATCTCCGATATACTGGAGGGGTTAAGATTAGAGCAGCTGCTCCTCAGCAGCAGGTCTCTTGCCCACGACAGATGGTTCAGTTCTAATTTCCCTGGTTGTGACATCACAACAGGGGACTGTTTGAAATGGCTCGTTTTAGGCACAAAATTCCTAAAGCCAAACACTGACAGAAAACAGATGACTGGATTTTTTTTTCACATTTGGAGTGTTTGTAGAGGCAGTAGAGAGACACATGACTGCATGAAAGGATGAAAATGTTAGCTTTGCATAAGAATGACCCCTTTGATAACCTTTTTTGTTATTATTTAACACTCAAAAAGCAACCTTGAGACTTTCAGTAAAGAAAAGCACCTTTTAGGACCTTTTGTTTTTTATTTTCAGGGTTTCCCTGGTACACCTGGACCAAAAGGCTCAAGCGGCCCTAAGGTTATTTGCTTGATCAACTACTAAACACAATTAGTCTCACTTTTTGCTGAATGAATCAAAATGTGAAAGCTAGTGTGGTTGTTTTTTCTCAGGGTGATGCTGGTCAGTCGGGGTTCCCCGGAACATTAGGATCTGCTGGCAAACCTGTAAGTGTGAGCAGAAAAACGTGAAAACATTCATGTGGGTAGTGTCTCCTTTGTTGTGTCACTGCCTCAAATTTTCATCATAATAAAGGGTGAACGTGGAGAACAAGGAGAGATAGGACCCGTTGGACCCATCGGTGAGCCTGTAAGTGACTTTTTATATCTAGTGTCTGTTTTAATCAGTTAAAATCAACTTAGCCTGACATTTTTCCTAATTTTGTCCTCCTTCCTTCAGGGAGACATCGGAGAGCAGGGTCCTGTGGGTCCAGCTGGAAAGCCCGGCGCAAGAGTGAGTTATAAACTAAGCTGAAAAAGCATCACAATAAAATATCATTCAATTAGAAACACATCCTTTTAGAATCACCCTGAAGGGGAAAAATGTTCACGAAAAGAGCACAAAGACAAGAATTAGTTGATGCAGTGATGCTATTTTAAAGGAAAAACATGAAAACCCTTCAGACTGTGCAGCTAAGGCTGTTGTTGCTCAGGAATTTCTCAGAGAATAGGCCGAGGCCGGATCTCACATCAGCTCTATTTTCACAGTAAGGAGAGACGAAGCAGCGGGCTGAAAGAGCTCTCTGTTTCCTCGGCATTCCTTGGCTGGTTGGTGATCAAAGGCACACAAAACATGTCTGAGAAAATGAGCTATGAAAAAGCATTGAACGCTTGTGAGAATAACTCTGATAACAAAATATGATCCAGTTTTAAAGCAGGTGAATTTAACTGTAATCATCAGGTTCATCATTATCTTTCTGATCCTCCCTCCTGCTCATGTCAAGTATGTTCTCATTAAAGGGACCAAAAGGTGATCCTGGTCTTCCCGGTCTCCCAGGCCCTCCTGGACTACCCGGAGCCAAAGGAGAGAGGGTAAGACACCAGAATGCTACAGCTAAACGTTATTATGGGATGTAAACCCATTTTCCTAGAATAAGGGCTTCTAACCGTGACAATCCAGACCAAGTTTCCCTTTGGTCCATTTGGATAAATCAACTGTTAAATTAACTTTCTAAAAAAGAAAACCCTTGAATTTAAGATTTATTTTGGTGATTATCTAGAAAAGATGATCAGGGCCAATAAGGTAAAAAGTTCTCAGAAATCTGATCTTTTTCCATCATTTTCCATGAGATTAAATCCAGGATCTGTTCAGAGACTCTCATCCTCTTCTGTCAATAGTTGCTCTTAAAGATTTGTTGTCTTCAAAATACAGTTTTGTTTTTATTTATTAGGTGAAAAATGAAGAAAAGAGTATTAAACTTTAAAATTTACTTTTATAGGACTTTGAAAATAAATGAATAAATCTTAAAGAGTTACTGGTACTTTTAGTGCATACTCAATGCAATTATTCCATGAAAAAGCTGAAATAGTTGATTCAACTTGCATTTCATGTAGAAAAAATAACATAAATACTTCAAATCATTTGAAGATTAGATTAAAAGTATTCAACAATTTAAAAATGAAAACATTGAATTTATACACATTTTGAATTTTAAAAAAATACTGCAGGGAGTGTGAACATGAATCAGTGCAAACGTAAAGGAAGAATAACAGAAACTGTGAAAGTCTCAAATGCAGCAGGGATGAAGGGATGTGAGAATATTTTATGCTGGATTTGTTCAGAGTTCTGTTAGATTAGTTATTGAGAGCCATTATGGAAGGTCCAAAGAGCCACCTGTGGCTCCGGAGCAGCAGGGTGCAGTACCCCGGTCCTGGAAAGAAAGAGCTGTGCTTAATGTCAAACAGCGCCCTCTGGTGTGAAATGTATTTAATTAATTAAAAAAGCTCAACCTTTGTTCCATTTGCAGGGAGAGCGTGGAGATTCAGGACCCAAAGGAGAACAAGTATGATACTGTTTAGTCTTTACAGCATGAATTGTTTTTAAGATCAGGATTATTTTGCTTCAGTTATTTACAGACTTTGTTTTCATAGGGCGCTCAAGGTGATGAAGGAAATCCTGGAGACCGAGGGGATTCTGTAAGTCGTTACACTAACGCTGATCACACATCTCACCGGATTCAACTCGTTGCTGATCCTTTACATTTCATCCAACGGGTGTTTTAGGGTGAACCGGGCGAAGCTGGACCTAAAGGAGAGGTGGGTCCATATTTCATGCTGTAACTATCCATGGGTGTTTAAAAAAATATTCATTTAATCAGATAATTGATGGTTTTATTTAGACTGGTATCCCTGGTGAAACTGGCCAAAGAGGTCCAGAAGGAAGTCGAGGTCAGCCAGGAGTTGAGGGACCTCCTGGGACACCTGGACCTCGAGGGATGCAAGGGAACAGGGGTCCACGTGGAGTCAGAGGGTCCCAGGGACCTGCGGTAGGGCCACAAACAAACTACAAACATAAGCACCTGACATCCAGCAACAAATAAACTCATTCTTATAAAAAAGTAGCACTTCAGGCTGTTTATTTCAATTAAAGCAAGTGACTATTGATTTCTGTAAAAAAAAAAAACACATTCTCTGACACCTCTTCTTTTAAATTCTCCTGCAGGGTAAAGAGCCGAGTGATCAGCACGTGAAACAAGTTTGCATGCGAGTCATGCAAGGTAAGAAAAGCAGAGCATTTGACCCCGTTTAGGAATCCTCCGGGCCTCGTTTCACAGCTGCAATGCTTCTCATCCTGTAACCCCACTGAAAGCCGCCCCTACAAAACTAAAAAATGAAGGTTCTTAAAACAAATACGTGGCAGAAGCTTCACCCTCTGTTCATGTGATGGATGAAAATTCCCTCTCCGAGCCTTCCAAATCTTTCACAGGAGTCACAACATCTCCTCGTTCCGGCCTCGCTCTCTTTACATCTCCACCGCTCATCTCCTACTCTCATGACTTTTTTATACCCGATGTGCTGAAAAATTCATTTCACCTCCAGCAGACCTGCACTTTTCTGCTCTGAGTGAAAAAGTCCGCCTGGAAAAGAAACTTAAAAGAAAAGAAGCAGTCAAGCAGCTACTGCATGAATTTCTATTTGGCAAAAGAAAACCGAAATCTTATTCAAAAAAAGGAAAAGGAAAGAAAAAACACCCTGCACGAAGTCACGGGGGATTAATATTACATCGTCTGCAGCACGGACACATTTCCTGTCGCTGATAGATCAAAATGAAGGATATTATCTCCTTTTGGCTCAATTTACTGATGGTTATATGAAAGGTCTGAACACCAGGAGTGGCTCGAGGGAGATCATGACCATAGTTTCACCTCGCTCAAGTTCAGCACTTAAAGGCTTCCTCCTGAACCCAGCTTTAAGGGTTCTGAGCATCGCTTTGGGTTCCTCATTCTGTCAGAAGATCGCATGCTTCTAACTCTTTTCTTCCCGTTACACTTCAACAGAGCAGTTGGCTCAGTTAGCTGCTAGTTTAAGAAGGCCGGAGACCGGCATCGCTGGTTTACCTGGAAAACCGGGACCTCCTGGACCTCCAGGGCAGCCGGGAGACAACGGTTTCCCTGGGCATGCTGGAGCAAGAGGTCTCCCAGGACTCAAAGGGCCACCAGGGCAGATAGGGCTAAAAGGACCAAAAGGTACTGAATATACTTCCAGCATTTGTTTTTTGAGATCAGTAAGAGAGAGTTTTATGCTAATCTATGATTTCAAAAATGTCTGAAAAATGTGTAACAGGTGAAATGGGAGACAGGGGCTCCAGGGGCCCCACGGTGAGAGGTCCTAAAGGTCAGCCAGGACCCCCTGGCCTTCCTGGTGAGTTTGTTTTATGGTTTTGCCTCAGTCACCTTCTCTGATATCCTTATATGTACATCAAATTAGCCAATGGGGTTATTTATTCCATCCTAAAGAGATCTAAGACCTAAAATTAGCTCTACACCATCTTCTTTGTGTACGAAAATTTTTGTTAGCTTTTGACAAGAAAACATAAACATGAGTTATTATATCTTGCTGACTTAAACCTTCAACACTTGCTAATCTTACATGAAAATGGCTAGCTTTAACTTGTCATCGTCATATGGGATAAAAGAAAGATATTTTGAAATTTTAACAGCTAAAGCTCCCCTCCCCTTCTGGAAGGAGGTGAAAGCCACACCTCACACACAATTAGCCTTGTAGAGCTAACAGCTGTTTTCTACGTGTTCCTGCTCAGACACACCTGATGTGTTCAAACAGGGAACAGGGAAAGTCTAATGGTGTGTTTGATTTACCTCGGAAGTCCAAATTTGGAACTGGGAATGACATCAGTCTCTAGTTAACAGCGTTATGGTTAACTTCATCAGAGAAATCGGGATTCCAATATGGCGACGCCCTCGAAAACTGTTGTTTTCTCAGTGGCCTAATGGTATGAGTGTCCGCGCTGAGGCTGGGAGACTGGGGTTCAAATCTGGTCGGGTCATACCGAAGACTTTAAACATGGGACCCAGTGCCTTACCGCTTGACACTCAGCTTTAAGGGGTTGGATCAGGGAGTCAAACCACCCAATATTTCCGGAGCACAGCCACAGCTGCGGCTCACTGCTCCCCACGGGGATGGGATGATGACTAATGGGACTTTTAACTTTACTAAACACATATGCAGCGAATCTGCAGCTTAGAGTTGCAAGTGCTACGTGTAACAATGATTTTAAACACACTTTATAAGTGCGTCTTGTAAAATAAACCCATTTCAACCAAAACTTACTGTGGTTGATACAGAGAGCTGCCATATTGGATGTAGAGGTCGGGGTTCTTTTCCGACTTTCTGACTAGGAGGCGTTTCAGCTGACTTTTTCCCCGTGGATGTTAAGATATCCGAGTTCTGAGGACAAATCAAACGCACCATTCAACTGGCAGAAAACCAGCACTTGAAGCCCACCCCTGCTAATGCTAACAGGTTAAAACTATAGTCGATGTAGTGTTAAGTTGAACGCAACGCTATTAGCTCCAAAACGCAAAAGATAAATTCTTTTTCATTCTTCTCCCTCATTTTCCACAGTTAGTTTGAGTTTACAGACCTAAATGATCTAAAAGCAGGTTGAGTTAGCATTCAAGCTAGGTTGGTGGGCTAAGATATTCGAGGCACATCTGCATCACCCTGTAGTGCATGCTGGGAAATGGGGCACATTCTTGTTGATTGACAGCTCCCGTTTATGGATACGTAGTTTGACTGATCAACTCTCTAGGCTCACGTAAAATATTTATTTTGCTGTAAAGGCCAGGGGAGGCACTCAGGGGAAACATAATATGACAGATTACCTACTTTATATCATAGAACAGGGTCAGATTGTCACATTTAAGCATTTTTGAAGCTACTTTAAAGTTTTTAAATTATTATACCCCAGCTTTAAGTAAAATACTTAAAAGTAACAGTAAAAATAGTATTTTGTAAAAGAGGGACACCTTCCCTTTAAATCTTCTCATTCTATTATGTCAGGGGAGCCAGGCAAACCTGGCTACGGTCAAGAAGGTCGAGATGGGCAGAGAGGACCTCCTGGCGTTCCTGGACAGCCTGGCGTGCCCGGTCCTCCAGGTCCAGCTGGCCTGAATGGATACTGTGACCCATCAGCCTGCAACCTCCAGGCTGGAGCTGTCCAGCAGTCTCTGGATGTGAAGGGACCCGCGGGGAACTGAGAGCCAGTTTGGCAGGGACACAAAGACTGTTGAATTATCTCCCCAAGCACACAACATTTGTCACACTGTCCTCCCAAGGGCTGTCATTGGCTCAGCGTCTTTGATACATTAACCTCTTTGTGTGAGCGTGTTTTTATGCCAGCAACATCTCAATTAAAGGGAGCCATCATCGTTGAGTCATAAAAAAGCCACAAAATGGTCTTTTATTTGCAGAAAAGTGTTTGAGAACATTCAGAACTGAGCTGACCTTTCCAAGAGACATGATCAGAGAGTCTTGTTTGTCCTGCTGTCCTTGTACCTCTGCTTTTATGTGTTCTCCTGTTTTTCACTGTGCGCTGTAATAAAAGCCCTGGAATCTTCTTATGGAAAGGGAAAGAATGTTTATGAAAAAAGAAACAAATTCAGATATTACTGTATCTCAGCTGAACCCAAAGAACTGAATCTACATGTCCTGTCAGCCTCATGAGAAATAAAACAGACAGGACATGCCTTCAAGTCACACTGACTTCATTGCATTTTGTAAATCTGTAAAAAAAATGTTTGAAATGTGGATTATTTCATAAAATAAACACCTGATGTGAGATTTTGATTCTTTGCAGATGTGTGTATTTGGAATATAGATTTCAGGATTCAGGAAAAGCACTGAAACAAGCTATTTAATTTGTTGGACATATTGGTGGTGTCTTCAAAGACCGTCGTATTTTAAGACTAATTTAAGAAGAAGCAGAATGTAAACAAAGCAATTAGAGAGATGTTTGGTTTATTGCCCTCCTTTAACATTTCACATTGTTACAACCACTTTGGCTGGTCTAGGGTGCGAAGGAGGGGGTTAACATAAAATGCATGTTCATGATGCTAAAATCAAACAAGACTTTTATTACACAAGAATTTAAAATCAACCAAAGCTCCAAACAAAATAAAAGTGGACACACAAATGGCTTTTACGCAAAGGTCCTCTGGCCATATACTCACATCCTCTGTGACAGGACACCATTCACAGCTCATTCACAAACAGAGCGTTCTCAGGCGCCGACATTGCTTGAACAGAGCTACCTCTGGCTCCTCAATCTGA